TTCACTTTGAAAGTTTCTCCCAGGAGATGGATGTAGTGGGGAAAACCCAGATCTTATTATTTAATATTGTGTGTTGTTTTTTTCACTGCGTGTGTTTTAATGTTATTGTGTTTCTGTGTGCAGGGCTCCAATGGAAGCATGCAGCTCATGGAGACAGAGTTCTCCAAGACTCTGGGAGAGATGGTGGCCCTTCACCTGCATCACCAGAAGAGCATCCCAGCATTCCTCTCTGCAGTGACGCTCGACCTCTTCAGCAGACAAACCACCATCTGAAGTAACCATGACACCATCTCAGACACAGGGCCGTGAATTCATAGGATCGGGATTCACTTTGGTTTTAATCCTCTTTATTTTTCATTGTCTTTGTTGCCTTTTTTTTTTTTTTTGAGTCTTCCAAGAAATGTACAAAGTGTCTCCATATTTCTCCATAGCTCTGGTGTTGGAATGGTTTGGTTAGATGAACTTGGATGTTGCATTCACTGCACTCACATCTTTTTTTTCTCAACAGGACAAAGTCGTGAAAATGACACAAAAGCCAACGATGTTGGGATTTGGAGGATGTTTTTATAATGTGTGGTCGAGTGTTTCTGCAGGAATGTATTTAGTGTGGTCTTCACTGAGGCCACGTCATCTCAACACAGTGCTAAAGAAAACATGAATTCAATGAATTATTATGGTTCTTTTTTCATTGTTCTACCGGGATTTATAAACATCTGAAGTTTCCATCAGTATATTTTTTTTTCTTTGTGCATAGATATTGTGTCTTACATGTCTCTCTCTGGTCCTTCTGTTAGAAGAAGACGTAAGTAGAGGGCGAAACAATTTAGAGATTAGAGAAAAGCTTGTCGACGTCTGACCACACTCAGATTTCACACTACTGTTTGAACATTGGTGGGAAAACAGTCAATATTTGATCTCTAATATTCTCACCAAATTTCACAGTTTAAAGTGTGAAAGTGTGGCAGCCTGTGCTGTGTGGTCAAAGTGAGAGCGTCAACATTTGTTCTCTTTAACACAAAATGGAGAAACCTGAACCAGAAATCATGAGTTTGAGCGGTGATCATAGTCTGAAACTGATGATGGGCGACAAGTCTCATCCGGAGCCAATTGTCAATGTCAATGTTTTTACCCTGTTTTAATAGCATCAAATAAATATTTAAAACTAAACTAACACTCGGACAAAGTCAGTGAGATTAAAAACTCTCATCAGGATGTCACCTCCTCCGTCTTTCTACGTAGTTTATGAAAACTTTGGATTCTGTGTGTTACCATTCAACAACACAGTGAGATTATCACAACAACAAACCAGACTCACTTGTTCTTCACTCAAGTGACATGTTAATGTTTCGACATAGTTAATTTAAAAAAAAAAGTTTGATTGCAAATAATTTCATGTTAGTTCTTGTGTGTGGAGTGAGAACAATACGAGCAACAACGTTCTTTTAACTGGGGATCGAACCGCAGATGCTGTGGTTCTGTGGACGGGACTTTAACAATTAGACAACTGGACTCCTCAGTTTTATTATTATTATTAATATTAACTAGGTTGTTCTTCGTAAAGACAATGTCTGTGTAATAGAATATATTTAACTGATTTATTGCAGGCTATTACACAGTATACACGTTTTTCCTCTGCTCATCGCCGTCATAAAAGAAATTACTAGACGTCGGTGTGTCCTGAAGTGGGGACAGGACAAAGAAAGCAGGTGCATGGAAAACACCAGGGAAGCTTTAATGTTTTATATTCGCTGAAACTCTTTTAAATTCACCGGAGAAAGGATTTAAAACACAGAAATAGGTCTTCGGATGTCAATCTTATTGTAACGAACGATGAATAATTCCCGTTTTGAATATCGTTAATGATCGAGCCTGTGTGTCTTCGTGTGAGTACAAGCACGAGACAAGTCGAGCGAAATTTCCTGGCAGCAATAAAGAGAAATGGCAGAAATAAAGATGGGGGGGTGAAGAGGGAGGCAAGGGAGCAATCCAATAAAACAGAGAGACGAAAGGAAGTGAACTGAGAATAAAGCCACTTATCATAGCAACAATATAAGAGCTCCAGCTGGCGCAGCCATATGTCTCATGAGAAAACATATTCCCCCCGTACACAACATGCCACATACTGTCCTTGGTCTCTTCCTTTGTTGACGCTCTCATTTTGACAACATAGCACATCTCCTGCACACTCGGCGGCTACATGTCACATTTGAGAGGATTTCAGATGAGCTGTGAATCACATACGAACGTGTCACATACAATGTTCTGCTTCAGTGGTGTGAGACGCACTTCGGCTTTATAATCCATCCATCCCATTGAACTGCTGTAACCTCTCCTCTGTTTTAAAGTTTGAATGCAAATGGTAATCAATAAAGCGTTTGTCTGACCGGCTGCTGACTTTAATGAATAATAACTCTGCCACGCCAACTTCGTGGTAACTTCACCCGAACCCTCTTCATCCAAATGAGACAGATACCACGGCTGCTGAGAGGTTTTTAATGAGCCGAGCAAGTTGACAATTCTCGCCCCCTCGTCGTTTCGTGGCCGTTTGATCGTGGCTGCTCTGTCGTCAGGTGTAGCAGCTCTGGTGAGCTCTCTGAAGGCTCAGTCCCGGGTGAGCAGCTGAGCTAAGCGCAGTTCACAGACCTCCATCATGGGGCCGATTTACCTCACAACAAATGAGGTCACTTCGTTCATGGAGTGGGGGGGGGGGACCTCAGGTCAAAGAGTTAAATCAATCTCAGCTTTGCCCACAATGCAACACATCATCTGCAAACATTCCTTTGACCGGTTGGGCGCAGTGTGTTTGAGTCGGATTCATTTCATGAGCATGAACGAGTATTTCCAGTGTTTATCTCTGTATTGTTGGTTTGAAAGAACCGGAGGAAATGTGTTGATTGTGTTGTTACAAACCGCTCCGCAGTGTTTTAGTGTCCGATAAGTCTTCACACTGTTGGATTCGTCAACCAGATTGTTTCTTTTATCACAACGGGGTGGTGTCGTGCTGTTTCCTGTCTAAATGCTCATAAAGTCCGAATCGTATGTCCGTTTAAAATCTCTCCTGCTCATCCCGAATGATCCTCTTATTAAACTTCTGTGGCTGTGATAGTAAGACCTTCTCCTTCCAGCCTCCTTCCACATTATTTCCTTTCATTACCTGTTAAACCTCAATCTTCCCCCTGCCTCGCACCCTCCCTGCTCTTCCCGCTTCTTCCCCCTCTTTTATTCATTCCTTTATCTTTATTTCATCAGCCCATCATCTCCCAGTCGAAAACAATTAGCACACGCCCCTGATATCTCATTAACTTTAAATGAGGTGGTGGAGCCAGGTTCAAAACGCCGACGCTGAGATTTCAAACTCTGCAGCAAACATCATATTTCACACACTCCCCCAAAATAAATAAATAAAAAAAATACACCAATCCTCATCAAGCAGTAAACAATCGATTTTGAAAAGTGCGTTTAAAAAAAATCAAATGCTGCAGAAGTCATTTGGAAGCAGCACTGAATCTTCAAAAGCAATTCTCCGGCATGTTTAATTTATGAGAAAGTACAGGAGTGGCATTTAAAACTTCATCTTCCGCTTTTATTTTTCACCAAAGAGAAATATCTGTAAGTGAGGCTTGCTGAGAAGAGACATCCCCACTACAGAGGAGACTTAGCTGGGAACCAGAGAGGCTTATGGGACAGACAGAGAGAGAGAGAGAGAGAGGACCTGTCACTAATTTCTTTCATCTCTCATCCCTCTTTCCCTCCTGTCTCTACCTTTCTCACCTAACTCTCCTGCCGCCCGTTTCCACTCGCACAGGAAGCTCAGCCTCGTTTTCTCTGAACTGAGTCTCTCTCTCTTTATATGCAGTCTGTGGTCTCTCTCTCCAGTCTCTGGCTCCCTCCCAGCAGAGCGACAGAGCAGCTGTCGTGCTTCAGTTCAGGTCCCACTGTCTTCTCCCCTCAGAGTCGAAGTAACGCGATACTGCAAAGCACAGAGGAAGGTGCAGTAACAGAAGAGTGAGAAAGTATTCACGTGTACTTGTAGTAATGTGTGGTTGGACCCTGAAAGAATTCAGTCCAGCATTCACGTTGCACTGTTGATGATGATGATGTTGATGATGATGTTTTCCCTTTTAAAAGGTTGATTCTGGGATATTTGTGTTAGTTCAGCTAAGCTCACTCACGTCTGGAGATGCAGCTTGATCGGATTGAAGTTTAAAAAACCGACCTCTAACAGTTTTCCAGAGCAATGTTGACTTCAGTCCGATGGTTTCCCAACCCACATCGTGTTTTATTCACTGTTCATTTTATTGATCTTTGAATTGGTGGTTTTATTCATTTATCTGAGCTCTATTTTAAAAATCTAAGTACATGGTGCATCCGCATTTGATACCAGGTACTTTGATCAAGATGTCTCTTCCTATTGTGTATTCATAAAGACAGGAGCTCATGTACTGTGGCAGATTGTTGATTTACCACCAGTTTCATCATGTTATGAACCGTCACATATTACTCTCTTATAATTCGTCCATAAAACAGTAAAGTGAAACTGCTCCGTGAATTTCAAACAGGTTTTAGTTGATCAAAAGTGAAACTACTTTCCACTTCCTCAGGAGAACAATGTGCTTGACCAACAGGCCCACGGACACAAAGATGGATAAAAACACTTTTGTTATTAAAAACCTAATGTCTGCGTTTTACACAATCAGACTGAATCTGACTCCAAAGTAAAATGGATTTTCTACCCCCCAGACATCCAATGAGTTCCAGCATTTTATCCAATTCCATCCGTTTGGAACCCAGTAAATGTACAGGGACATTTAATTTCTAGGTAGTTACAATTTATTCCACTGACACTTTTGTTTATTCTGTTCTAATCTTGAAATGCAGCTCTCGGCAAATACACTAATATACTTTAAAACTGTCTGTGGCCAAGAAATGTAATGAATGAAATCTAATACGAAAGACAAATTAAAACAAGTAAGCAAAAACAATGGTTAAGTCGTGGCTGCAATTTTTTAAAATAAACTGCGTCAGTGCTTCAGGTGGATTTCAATGCTTCCACTGGAAGTGATATCAGATGGAGGGAATCGATCTAAACTCTATTTGGAAAATGCTGGGCAGCAGAATAACACATTTTTAGTTATTTCAGTGGATCAAGCAAAATCTTAAATCAACTGCTTTGTAGTGTTTTTTAATTTCTTCAAATAAAATAGATGATTCGATGATAAAAGCAACAAAGCTTTAACTGAATATCGAGATATTTGCTTGTTAATGAGCCAAAACCATAGACTGTAAAAAAAAAAAGATGGACGATGCATCTCCACTTCCTCCCACTATCCAGAAATGAAGCCAACGTATCTTGGATATGAAAACTGGCATCTCGTGCATTTGGAGCCCGAGTCAGATCAGGGGGTGGGGCCAATCGCAAGTCTGTCTAAGCTGTCAATCATGACACTTCTTTAATTCCATCAAATAACTAATTAAAACCAAACTTCACTGGTCAGGTTGAACAAAAACGACCTCAAATTAGAGAAACCTGTCAGAAACATGTATTTGATTTTTTATTTTGACTATTGAGTTTGTTTCGATTTCCCTCAAAAACAAAAATCCTGGATATTTTCAGCCGCTTCCTCTCTAATGCTCATTCTCCGGCACGACAATTGGTCGAGTTTAATGGTGCCATTATGCAGTCAGAACCTGTGTCAGGCCAAGAGAACAGATTTGGAGGGAGCAAAGTTTCCACCGCTGATGATGGAGCAGCTCCGTCAAACACGTCTGTCCCCATTCATTTTTTCCAGTTGGAGCTGCTGCAGCGCTCAACGTCTGGCACGTGTAATTCTAATCCTCCTACACAGTGTAAGTTGCTGCTCAGAGGGCCAGTTGAAAAGTGCAGGCAGGTCTCCAGGCGGGACTCCAATATGGCTGCCGGTGCAGGAGAGTGACAGTCTGGCTAATTAGAGCACTTTTAATTTGCGCTGCCTTGATCTCTCGTCTTGGCCTCCTTCAATCTGGGAGCCTGTGTGCGTGCGGGAATGTGCGCCGGTGTGAGTTTGTGTATCTCGAGCCAGCAAAGCGTCACCTTTTGTGGTCATTTACAAAGGCGGGGGAGGGGGCGGGAGGGGGGGGGTTTGAAGGAGGCTAAATGCCAAAATACCTGTCATTTAGTCTTTCTCAAACTTTGCCTGTCCTCCACCTCTTTCTCGCTGCTAATTGACTTCTGAGGCATCGTGGTCCCGACGTGTCTACACACACCTCCACCCACGGGCATCTGGCTTTTGTCTGCAAAGGGAATGGATGCAATCGGTTTTCACTCCCGGGTGAACACCCCCATCCCTCCATCGACATAGTGGTGCGTAGATATTTTTAGGTGAACTGTCCCTTTAAGGGCCTGTTCGGCCTTCGTGGAGGTTTGTGCTTAACCATCGTAGTTCATCGTGTGTCCTGGTTCTGAATCGATCTGGTTTTCTTGAATCTCGTCTTTAAAGCGAGTTGTGAAAATGTTGTTGCCTCTCAGATATTCATTCAGGAGCAGGTGCGACACGTTCCTTCAGTCAAAAAGAGGATAAACCAGAGTAACCACTGACCTATTAACTCATAAGTCATGTTGCTCGCCTCTCAGTCGGAGTCGACCTTTACACAGTGTTCTCTCACTTACACTGTACATTATTAATGCTGCTTGGCCTATCTGTGTGTGTGTGTGTGTGTGTGTGTGTGTGTGCGCTGCACTGATAAGTGGAGCCCCTCGCGTTGGCAGGTTGATTTTAATATGTGTTAATACAGCGGTGAGAGTGTTTCCCGTTATTATCTGTGTCATCACTCTCCCTCCAGCCTCCTCCTACAGGCTGGCCCACATTAGGACACACTCTTAGAGAGAGACAGTGGCTCTAATTCCCTTTTTTAAAGAGAGGGTTATTTCCCAGAGACGGACTCCCAGGGCTCGGGGAGAAATCAAAACCCTGAGTAAAGACCCCGTCTTTCTGTCCTCTCTTATCTGGCTTAGCCTCTTATTCATAATTCTGTTTCCTGTTCTATCCTCATATCTCGGCTGTCGTCCATCCCGGTCAGAGACGTCACAGTAAATGCCATGTGGAGAAAGACGGAGGGGGGTTATTATTTGTGCCTATGGGGAGGCCTCTCCCTGCACTCAGGCAGGCGTCAGCGTGGACAGCTATAGAGTGACAGCGGGGGAGATGGGCGGCACACACACACACACACACACACACACATAAAAAGACAGATATTTTGGTCTGTGCGGCGCCGGCTGTGACGTGCCTGACAACTACTCGCGCTCCAAAGTGTGGCGCCGGGGCGAGCTGCAGGGTCCCACTTCGCTGTGCATACGACTGCTTTGATAAGACCACATCGAGAAAGGGCAGCACTCAACCACAGTGCC